CAAGCCGTCGATGGTGGCACACACCTTTAGTCCCAGCACTTGGGAGGCAGAGGCAGGCGGATTTCTGTGAGTTCAAGACCAGCCTGGTCTACAAGAACTAGTTCTAGGACAGCCTCCAAAGCCACAGAGAAACCCTGTCTCGAAAAACAAAACAAAACAAAAACAAGAAACAAACAAACAAAAATACTAAAAAAAAAGAAAATTGTATTTTTAAAGAATATTTGTATTGTTTCTTATATTTTGTAAGTATGTGTTTTGTGAGTGTGCAGTTGAATACAAGTGCCTGTGGAGGCTAGGGGCATTAGAGTTAAGTGTAGTTGTGAACCACCCAGTATGGATGAACTCAATTTGGATCCACTTGAAGATCAATAAGTGCTCTTAACTGCTGAGTCACTACTCCAGCCCCAAATGTTGTTTGGTTCTTTAGGTTTTTTTTTTTAATTAAAAAATATTAACCTTTATTTTTATTTTGTGTGTATGGGTATTTTGTCTGCATGTATGTCTTTGTACCCCATGTGTATAGTGCCCTCAGAGACCAGAGGATGGTGTTGGATTTCCTACGACTGGAGTTACAGGGCACAGTGTGGGTACTGGGAATCGAACCTGGGTCCTCTAGAAGAGGACCAGTGTTAACTGCTAAGCCGTCTCCCCATCACACAGAGCCTCACTATGTAGTCCAGGCTAACTTCAGTCTCATCCTCTTGTCTCAGACTCCCAAATCCTAGGATTACAGGCATGTGTGACCATGCTGATCTTGAATCTTACATGTCTTATTTCAGTTCTACACCTCTGATCTTTGAAAATCATCATTTAAAAATGATGTAGTTTATTGATTGTGTTGCCCATCAGTTACAGTGAACAGCAAAGCAGAACAGATTGTGGAGGTCACATACTGAAATGAGAGGCAGTCTTATCTAACCCAGTAGTTATTCATCTTCAACAACCCAAGGCTGCTTAGAAGTAAGAAAGTTTGCTGACCTATGAGCTATTGCTTGACTTCAGTCTCTGATAACAAGGACTCTGCAACCCAAGTGTTCTTATGACTCTTCTGCTCACTCTCCCCTGTGCTCCTGCCATTTCCAGGGCTAGAGTAATGGATCTGTCTGTAACCATAAGAATTCACTTTATCTTAGTGCCCGTGTTTTTGTATTTTAAAAACGTAACACTGAGCTGGTCGTTGGTGGCGCACACCTTTAGTCCCAGCACTTGGGAGGCAGAGGCAGGCGGATCTCTGTGAGTTCAAGACTAGCCTGGTCTACAAGAGCGAGTTCCAGGACAGCCTCCAAAACCACAGAGAAACCTGTCTCGAGAAAAAACAAAAACAAAAAACGTAACATTGAGGCTTAGTATTCTTCCCATTTTCCTGGAGAGGGAGAGGGAGAGGGAGAGGGAGAGGGAGAGGGAGAGGGAGAGGGAGAGGGAGAGGGAGAGAGAGAGAGAGAGAGAGAGAGAGAGAGAGAGAGAGAGAGAGAGAGAGAGAGAGAGAGAGAGAGTGTGTGTGTGTGTTGGGGGGATATGTCACCTAGCAATATTGCTCTTGGAATATATGTGTCATTGTTTTATGTATTTTTTTATTTTTATTAGATTGTATGTGTAACAAGTGCATGTAGGTCAGAGGGCAACTTGTGGGAGTTAGTTCTCTGCTACCACATGATCACAGGGATCAAACTCTTGTTTGTCAGACTTATGGGCAATTTAGTTTTTATTTATTGCTCTGTGGGGGTGTGTATATGTATGACGTGTGTGAGAGTGCCATGTGTGTATACCAAGGCTTGTGTGGCAAGCACTTTTTTACCCACTGAGCTATCTCTGGCTCTTGCCATCTGTTTTGAAACTTAGACTTACTGTTCCTTCTCTTTTCCTATACGGCATTGTATATGTACCACAGAAATATGGTTTTAGAAATATTTCATTCTCAGATAACTTTTTCAAAAAATATTTTATCTTTTTGAGGCAGGGTCACTTGTTGCCAAAGCTGGCCTCAAACTCACATTCCTTAAGTAGCTGACAATGGTCTTGATGACCTTCACCTTCCAAGTTCTGGGATTACAGTCATGTGCTCCCACACCAACACAGAGAAGACAAGTTTTTAAGCACATATAGAACTTTGGAAATGAATGCATATTTCATTCTTGGTTAGCTTCACTAGTCTTCACCTCCCCCAAACACACTTACTAGGTAAACTGAGGTTCAGATGGCCAGGTGAGAGAGAAGCCTAAAGTCACAGTGGCTTCAGTCCCAGCTCAGATTCACCTGATTGCAAAGGCCTGGCCATTACATGGTGCACTGTGCTGTCCCTGGTTTCCTTCTTTCCTCTTGGCCTTTTTGAGGAGCCACCACCCAGCCTCCAAGCATTACCACACACAGGGGCTTACTCTTAGTTGTGAATGTCTAGCCTTATCTTGGCTTGTTTTTAGCCAGCTTTTCTTACCTTAAATTATTTCGTCTACCTTTTACCTCTGGGCTTTTCCAGTTCTCTTCTGTAAATCTTGCTTTTACTCCGTGGGTTGCTGTGGGTGTGTGGCCGGGTGGCTAGCCCCTGGAGTCCCCCTCCTCTCTTGCTCCTTCTACTTATCCTCTCTGCTGCCAGCCCCTCCTGTCCTTGCTCCTGCCTCACTATTGGCTGCTCAGCTCTTCATTAGACCATCAGGTGTTTTAGACAAAGAATCACAGCTTCACCAAGTTAAACAAATGCAACATAAACAAAAGTCACATATCTTTTTTTTTTTTTTTGGTTTTTCGAGACAGGGTTTCTCTTGGCTTTGGAGGCTGTCCTGGAACTCGCTCTGTAGACCAGGCTGGCCTCGAACTCACAGAGATCCATCTGCCTCTGCCTCCTGAGTGCTGGGATTAAAGGCGTGCGCCACCAACGCCCGGCTAAAAGTCACATATCTTAAAATAATATTCCACCACACTGTGCTGGGTTGGGTTTTTCCACCTTAATAATTGCTCAATTATAGCAGTAAGGTTGAGGAATCTTCTGTCCCTTGGGAGGCTCTATATTCAGTTCTCATCCAAATGGCATCTAAAAATGCTTCAGTAGCAACAATAGTCATAGGCTGGCCAGAGACAACTTCATTCCATCCCTCAAATTTCAAGATCACTGTGTACAGCCCACAGTTTGAGAAAGACTGCACAGCTGGTTAAGAAACCAATTAATTCTGCTTTACAGTAGTAGTTTTCTTTCCTTTTTTTGTTTGTTTAGTTTTTTTGTTTGTTTTGTTGGTTGGTTGGTTTTTGTTTTTGGAGACAGGGTTTCTCTGTGGCTTCGGGGGACATCCTGGAACTAGCTCTTATAGACCAGGCTGGTCTCAAACTCAGAGTTCTGCCTGCCTCTGCCTATCAGGTGCAGGAATTAAAGGCGTGTGCCACCAACACCCAGCTTGTTTTGTTTTTCAAGATAGGGTTTCTCTGTAGCTTTGGAACCTATCCTGGAACTCAATCTGTAGACTAGGCTGGGCTCGAACTCACAGAGATCCTCCTGCCATTCCCTCTCAGGTGCTGGGATTAAAGGCATGCGCCAACATACCTGTTGATTTAAAAAATTTTAATGATAGTGTATGTCAGGGTTATTAGGATTGCTGTTGTAGAGTAGTCTACACAGGGTCACAGTAATTTGTCATTCTTGTAGATTACTCTCTCAGTCCTCTGTTAACTTCCTTTTTACTCTTTCCCTTTTATTTCTATGTATCTGTTTCATATCTTGAGTGCTTTGTAGGAATATTTTAGTAATTTAGTATATTTGTAAATATTATATATATATACATATGTGTGTATATATGGGCATAGAATCAAGATAATCAGAAAAAAAAATCAAGGTATGGTGATCCACGTCTGACATCCCATAGATGGAGGCCAGCCCAGGCTACACAATAAGCACCACACTAACTATATAGTGAGATGCTATCTACAAAAACTGAAGTAGGGATATAGCTCAGTAGTAAAATACTTGTCTAGCTTGTGAAAACCCCAGAACCGACAAAAAAAGAAGATGAAAAGAAAGGCACCCATGGCATGCCAGGTGTCTAGTGTACCTGTGGTTAGACAGGCCAATTCAAGTTTGATGAATTTGATGTGGCTCAGAAAAAAATCTGAAGACATGGTGTGGAGTTAAAACCTCTTTTTCAAGCCGTGCGTTGGTAGTGCACGCCTTTAATCCCAGCACTCGGGAGCCAGAGGCAGGCAGATCTCTGTGAGTTCGAGACCTGCCTGGACTACAAGAGCTAGTTCCAGGACAGGCTCCAAAGTCACAGAGAAAGCCTGTCTCGAAAAACCAAAAAAAAAAAAACTCTTTCAGATGGCAATTCAGCTCCCTTGCCAGTCACACTCTGGCAGAGCCATCTATGACAGGCGCAGTTCTTTGTGTGGGGTGAGTAGCCTGTCAGTGTTGGATGGTTACCACAGCTAAACCTCAGAAGCAACCTGTCATCACAGCACTCAAGAGGAAGAGGCAGGGAGATCACAGTCATTTCAAGACCAGCCTGGTCTACATAGTGAGTTCAAGGCCAGCCAGTGCTATACAGTGAAAGCCTGTATCTGAAAACCAAAATAATCTGGGCCTGGGGTGCATGTGGACCTGCAGTGCTCGATCATAGGCAGAGGTGAAGGCAGAAGGGTCAGGGGTCAAGGCACCTGAGCTTAGATGTTGTCAAAGAAACCCTCTTAAGTATGGTGTCTGAGCCTGTGTTCCTAGCATTCGAGAGGCTGAAGCAGGAAAGTTGTCGTGAGTTCAAAGCCAGCCTGGGCTATAGACCAAAGTTTTTAGACAGTTTCATAAAGCAAAACAAAAAAGCTAGGCTGAGGTGGTTTACATTTTTAATCTCATCATTGGGGAGGCAGGTGGATATCTGAATTCAAGGCCAGCACAGTCCACAGAATGAGTTCTAGGACAGCCAGGATTACACAGAGAAACCAACAAACAAACAAAAAAAAGCTAAAGGGGAAAAAAAGACTGCCGTTTCAATGGTCCTGTGTCTAACGTGCTCCTTTTCTCCTTACAGGACTGTTGAAGCCTGGAAGTCCCTCCCCTTCCCCTTCCCCCTTTGCCGCTCTGTGGCATCCCCTCCCTCTACCCTTTCCTGCTTTGATAACCTGCTATGACTAGCAGAAGTACAGCGAGGCCCAATGGGCAGCCCCAGGCCAGCAAAATATGCCAGTTCAAATTGGTCCTGCTGGGAGAATCTGCAGTAGGGAAGTCCAGCCTGGTGCTGCGTTTCGTCAAAGGGCAGTTCCATGAGTACCAGGAAAGCACCATTGGAGGTGAGTGACAGACTGAAGCCTCAGTACTTAGTGGGGCTTGAAAGGAACATGGAGGACTTGATTGTGGAATTGTACCATTGTTATTCCAGGAATGGAAACGCTGCAGAAAGATCGACATCATCCTTAATGATACAGTAGTCGAGGCCCTGTTACAATTAAAAAATCAGGCCAATCATGGTGGCAAATGAATGCTCTAATACCAGCAGATCTGTGTGTTTGAGGCTAGCCTGGAGTACATAGTGAGCTCCATGACAGTCGGGTAATATAGAGAGACCCAGCCTCAGATAGTCAATTACGGATAAAAGCTGGGCCTGGGAGCTCGTGTCTCTAATCATAGTTGTAGAGACCAAGACAGCGAGGTTGCTGCCATAGACTAAAGGCCAGTGACATCAGTTGGCTTTTTACCTTTTGTTTTCTTTTGTTTTTTCTTGGCGGGGAAGGTGGTTTTTCAAGACAGGGTTTCTCTGTGTAGTCACAGAGCTCCTCCTGACTCTCCCTCCTGAGTGCTGGAATTAAAGGTGTGCACCACCACTGCCTGGTTCTTCCCTATCATCTTAGTGCCAGTGACGTTCTATTGAGTGACATCAGGAGAGATAAAATTAGAGCAGGGTGACATGGGAACACTGGAAGCTAAGATGGGGGGACTGCTTCAAGTTCCCAGTTAGCCTGTGGCAACCTAATAAGACCCGATGTCAGAAAACACCCAACAGTCGGGCGGTGGTGGTGCACGCCTTTAATCCCAGCACTGGGGAGGCAGAGGCAGGCGGATCTCTTGAGTTCAAGGCCAGCCTGGTCTACAGAGAAACTGTGTCTCAGAAAACAAAACAAAAACCCACCCAGGGACTTGAGATGACTGAGTTAAAAGCACACATGTAGAGTGGGGCAGATAATGACAGACTCAAGTTTGGTTCTGAGCAAGCCTCAAGTGGCTCACAGCCACCTGTAACTCCAGTTCCCAAGGATCTGACAACTCTAGCCTCCTCAGGCACTAGCACTACCCATATAATACATGTAAGTTATAAAAATAGATATTTTAGAAACATATATATGCAATTTAAAATAAAACCTTTAAAAACAAAACACTTAGACCTGTTGACACAGGCCTATAATCTTAGCTCCTTGGTAGGCTAAAGCAGGGGTTTCCAAGTTCAAAGCTTGTATGTGCTACAAGAGTGAGTTCCAGTCAGTCTGTATTATAAACAAGACCCTGACTGGAAAGAAAAAAAGACTAGGGATATAGCATGCAGTTCCATCCCACCAAATTGTTTTTTGTTTTGGAACAGTAATTCATAACCAAGTATGTGATCAGATTAATTTCTTGATAAGCCCACACCCATCCTTAGTGTACAACTGCCCATAAGCACCACTGTTACTTAATAGTCTTGCTAAATCTGCATTAAAACCCTTTCTAAAAAATAATTCTGGGAATGCTGGAGAGATGGTTCAGTGGGTAGGTGAGCTTGCTGTTCTTTAAGAGGGCAGGAATCCCCAGTGTCCACATCAGGTGGGCAGCTCACACCCACCTGTGACCACACCCACCTGTGATCCTAGCTCCAGGTTGGCAGCTCACACACGGGCACCCATAATCCCAGCTCCAAGGGGTCCCATGCATCTTCCAATTTATGTAGGATTCTACATTCATAGGCACACAAATAAGTGACAGGTTTCTTTTTTTTTTTGTTAAGAAATAAAAGTTGCCATTTTACTGTTGGGAAAGAGTGTGGGCCAACAAGATAAGTTAGAAGGTAAAGGTGCTGCTGTGCTAACCTTGGACACAGTTGAGTCCCTAGAGCCATGAAAGGTGAAGGAGAAAACTGACTCCATAGGGCTGCTCTCTGACCTACACGTGTGTACCTTGGCAGGGCTGCCCTAGCACCTACCATCAAGCTTTAAAGTCTTGTGTGTTTTGTTTGTTTGAGACAGGGACTCATGTAGCACAGACCGTGGTGTAGCAGGAATGGCCTTGTTTTCCTGATCCTCCTCCCTCTACCTCCCCAGTGCTAGAATAACAGATGTGTCAGGCCTTGAAAATACTCTCATTCTTTTTGAAGGTATTATTTTTATTACAGGGTTTCTCTGTGTAGCCCTGCCTGTCCTGGAATTTGCTCTGTAAACCAGGCTGTCCTCAAACTCGGAGACTGCCTCTGCCTCCTCCTCGACAGGTGGTGGTGATACACACCTTTAATTCCAGCACTTGGGAGGCAGAGGCAGGAGGATCTCTGTGAGTTTGAGGCCAATCTGGTTTACAAAGTGAGTTCCAGGACCCCCAGGGCTACAGAAAACCCTGTCTAGAAAAAAAACCGAGGTTACAGTGTGGATGACTGATGTAAGTGCCCGTATACTCTCTGTCCCTCACAGTTTATAATGTTCCATTCCTTAGCTAGAAAGATTTGTTTTTACATCATCTATAAGTGTCTCACCTGTATGTGTGCATGTGTGTGTGAGTGTCTCACCTGTATGTGTGCATGTGTGTGAGTGTCTCACCTGTATGTGTGCATGTGTGTGTGAGTGTCTCACCTGTATGTGTGCATGTGTGTGTGTCTCACCTGTATGTGTGCATGTGTGTGTGAGTGTCTCACCTGTATGTGTGCATGTGTGTGTGAGTGTCTCACCTGTATGTGTGCATGTGTGTGAGTGTCTCACCTGTATGTGTGCATGTGTGTGAGTGTCTCACCTGTATGTGTGCATGTGTGTGAGTGTCTCACCTGTATGTGTGCATGTGTGTGTGAGTGTCTCACCTGTATGTGTGCATGTGTGTGTGAGTGTCTCACCTGTATGTGTGTATGTGTGTGTGTGTCTCACCTGTATGTGTGCATGTGTGTTAGTGTCTCACCTGTATGTGTGCATGTGTGTGAGTGTCTCACCTGTATGTGTGCATGTGTGTGTGAGTGTCTCACCTGTATGTGTGCATGTGTGTGTGAGTGTCTCACCTGTATGTGTGTGTGTGTCTCACCTGTTTGTGTGCATGTGAATTCACTGTCTGTGGAGGACAGAAGAGAGACCAAATCCCTTGGACTAGAGTCAGACAGCTGTGAGCCATGGGCTTGCTGAGATTGAACCCAAGATCCTCTGAAAAGGCAGCAAAATTGCTGCGCCTGTTTTGTTTGTATTTAATTCCAGCACTCAAGAGGCAGAGGCAGGCAGATTTCTTGATTTTGAGGCCAGCCCTAATGAGTTCCAAGAGCCAGCACTACATGTTGAGACCTTTTCTTAAATTAATAAACAAATACAGGGCCTCACTCGGCCCAGACTGGCCTCACACTTGCTAAATAGCCAAAAATGACCTTGAACTCCTAACCCTCCTGCCTTCACCCACAAATATTCAGGGACCATCGTAATCCTGTTCCAACATTTACACACGAGGAGAACACTAACCCTGTAATTGATGGGCCTGGGTGGGAACTGGTCTTAAAATGAGAAGAGATGATTTGAAGGGAGTAGGATCTTCCCATCAATCCCCCACTCACAGCCTCTTCATTTTCTTCTTCATAGCGGCCTTCCTCACCCAATCTGTGTGTCTAGATGACACCACAGTCAAGTTTGAAATCTGGGACACCGCTGGGCAGGAGCGATACCACAGCTTAGCCCCCATGTACTACAGGGGTGCCCAGGCTGCAATTGTGGTTTATGATATTACTAATCAGGTAAGTGGGCTGAGAAGATTATTTATTGAGAAGACTTATTTATAGATATTAGTTGGGGGAAGAGGAAACATGTTCTTGAAGTAACAAAATAAAAGTACCAAGCATGCAGCCGGGCGTTGGTGGCGCACGCCTTTAATCCCAGCACTCGGGAGGCAGAGGCAGGCGGATCTCTGTGAGTTCGAGGCCAGGCTGGACCGACAGCCTCCCAAACAGAGAAACCCTGTCTCGTAAAACAAAACAAAACAAAACAAAAAGTACCAAGCATGCTTGTAAGCAGTAAGCCAGAAAGCCAGAGGAAGTGAATTGTGAGAGGGAGGAGCACCTGGAGGAGGAGAATTGTGAGACTGGGTTTTGAAGATGACAACTGTGATTAGCACTCACTCTAGCCCATTCTCTTTCATGTTTTCCTAGGAAACTTTTGCCCGGGCAAAGACATGGGTTAAGGAACTACAGCGGCAAGCCAGCCCTAGCATTGTTATTGCCTTGGCAGGGAACAAAGCTGACCTTGCCAACAAGCGCATGGTGGAGTATGAAGTAAGATGGCCCACAGATTCCCTCACTCTATATGCAGGACCTCTTCTTTCCAAACCAGTCTCTTGAAAGCGTCATGTGAGGGAGGCGTTCCTTATCTCACTTCCTAGTTGTACACCAAACTAAATACAGCAACACTGTGACCATAATGGCAGCCAGGAGATTTTAAAGGAATTAGAGGAAAACTGCAGTTCAGAGGGGTAAGGAAATGTCACTTGTAGAGTACCAGGGTACAAATAGGAAAGAGGGAATAGTTAAATTTGCAGTAAGGATCTGTTGACATGCCATAACTCATAGATTCCTATCAGCTCACCCTTCTCATAATTAAAATTGCTAACACTGGGGAGGTGGCTCCAGTTTACTGTACTTGTGTACAAGCCCAAGGGAAAAGGCACGGGAAGGTAGCCCAGGCTTGTGGTCTCAATGCTAGGGTGTAGAGAGCACAGCACCCCACGGGCTTGCTGGCTAGCTACTCCAGTTAAAACAATGAGTGTAAAAAGTAATAGGGTTCCAGGCGGTGGTGGCACACAACTTTCATCCCAGCACTCAGGAGGCAGATGTAAGTAGTTCTCCGAGTTTGAAGTCAGCCTGCTCTACAGAGTGAGTTCCAAGACAGCTAGGGCTGCTACACAGAAAAACCCTGTATCAAAAAAACAAAACAAAAAAAAGTAAGTATTAGCCTGGAGACCTGAGTTCAGTCCCTGGAACCCACATAAACATGGAAGGAGAGAAACCTACTCCATCATTGACTCTGACCTCCACCAGCATACCGTGTCATTCAGGCCTGTATGTACAAACACATACATACAAACAAACAGTAAACTGAAAAATAAGATGAAGCCAGGCATTGATGGCGCACACCTTTAATCCCAGCACTCGGGAGGCAGAGGCAGGTGGATCTCTGTAAGTTCGAGACCAGCCTGGACTACCAAGTGAGTACCAGGACAGCCTCCAAAGCCACAGAGAAACCCTGTCTCGAAAAACCAAAAAAAAAAAAAAAAAAGAAAAAAGAAAAATAAGATGAAAAGCAATTGAGGAAGATAGCCAAAGTTAACTTCTGACCTGTACGTGCATACATGGGTACACATCTGAACATGTATGCACACATAGATTCTTGATTATCTCTTTGTTGAACTTAGTAGACATGGGTTTATCTTGAGGGACCAACTGGTACAAAGGGCATTAGTGGAGAGAACCTAAATATTCCCTCACTCTGGAGTGCTGATTGGAGTGAAAAAGCAATACTGCTTTCATCCCTTTTAGGAGGCACAGGCATATGCAGATGACAACAGCTTGTTATTTATGGAGACTTCAGCCAAGACTGCTATGAACGTGAATGACCTCTTCCTGGCAATAGGTAAGGACAGGACGAGTGGTCTGAGCTCTGCCCGTCTCCTTGTCTGTATATAAAGCTGTCGTTAACCCAAACCAAGGACAGATGGCATTTGGGTATGTGGCTGGAGGTATAGCACAGTGGTAGAGTACTTCATAGGAGGTGGAAGGCCCAGGGTTTGATCGACAGCACTACAAAGAAGCCAAAGTCTGAAACTAGCTGCACCTCATAGTAAGCACTAGGCCAGTAGCTCTCAACCTGCTAATGCTACAACCCTTTAATACAGTTCTCCATGTTATGGTGACTCCCAACCATAAAATTACTTTGTTCTATAATTTTGCTAGTGTTGTGAATGGTGATGTAAATATCTGATATGCAACCTACAGATTGAGAACCACTGTACTGGGCCATCGCTGGGCATGGTGCATACCTTTAATCTCTGCATTCATGAGGCAGAGGCTAATCTCTGTAAACTCGAGGCTAGCCTTGTCTATATAATTATATAATTAATTCCAGGACACACACGGATGGGGGGAGGAGGAGGGAGAGGAGGGAGAGGAGAGAGAGAGGGAGGGAGAGAAGGGGAGAGAGACCCTATCTCAGAAAAAAAGAAAGAAAGAAAAAATTCTAGGCACATGTTTAAGCCCAGCACTCAGGAAACAGAGGCAGGTGGATCTCTCTGAGTTCAAGGCTAGCCTGGTCTACAGAGCAAGTTCCAGGACAGCTAGGACTACACAGAGAAACCCTATCTCGATAAACCAAAAAAAAAAAGTGGGGGGACAAATCAAAACAAACCCTTTAATCTGGCATGGTAATGCATGCATAAAATCTCATTTGGGGCAGTAGGCTGAAGCAGAAAGATTACAGCCTAAGCTATTTGTGAAGATTTGGTGAAGCACATCTATAATCATAAAACTTTGGAAATAGAGGCAAGAGAAGCACTTTAAGAAAAGGCAAAGTGGGCTAGAAAGATGGCTCAGTGCTTAAGTCTACACACTGCTCTTGCAGAGGACCCGCAATTGTTCCCAAGCACCCACATCAAGTGGTTCAAAACCACCTGTAACTCCAGCTCCAGGAGGTGCGACACTCAGAGCTCTGGGGCACCTGCATTCGTGTGCACATAACCACTGCACACATGCACATCGTTTAAAACAGAATAAAAAAAGGAACCAAAAACATGAAAGTGATGGGTTGGAGAGATGGTTCAGCGGTTAAAAGCACTGGCTGCTCTTCTAGAGGACCTGAGTTCAATTCCCAGCAACCACATGGTGGTTCACAGCCATCTGTAATGAGATCTGGTGCCCTCTTCTGGTCTGCAGGCATACTTGCAAACAGAACACTGTATACATAATGTATACATAATAATTACATAAATCTATAAAATAAAAGTGGTGTGGTGCTATATACCTGTAATCCTATCATATGGGGTGGAGACCAGAGGATCAAGAGTTTGAAGCTAACCTGGACTACAGAGTGAGAAAGACCCAGGTCAGAGGTACAGCAGTGGGTTCGATCCTCAGCACTATCAAACAAGAAAATCTCCAGTTGTAGAAACAGCTTCACTTCCTTTTGTAACTTCCATCCTTTGTTGGTAGCTTTAGCTCCCTGTGTTTGTGAATTTTGTAAATACTGATGCCCTCTTCCTCTTCAGTATATATAAGTAAAATCTACCATCCTCTGTTCCGTTCTCTTATTTTTTAGCAAAGAAGTTGCCAAAGAGTGAACCCCAGAATCTGGGGGGTGCAGCCGGCCGGAGTCGGGGCGTGGATCTCCATGAGCAGTCTCAGCAGAACAAGAGCCAGTGTTGTAGCAACTGAGGGTGGCTAGCAGCAAACACGTGGAGTTAGCACGAGAGCTAAGACGTAACCTCCATCCCCACCCCTCAGCACACAGCCCCTATGGTAACAGCACACTGAGCCCTGGCTCCCAAGGGCTGCCTCCTGACAGCTCCGTCATGGCACTTTTTAACGCTTCAGCAACCAACACCAGGCAGCTGTTGCCACTATATGCCCTACTCTGGGGTTTGGGGTCAAATCTCCCCAGGACCTTCCTTCCAAAACAAACTTTCTTCACTTCGTATTCTAGGTGCAAGACAGTGACCTCCTCATTGTTGCCCCCACTGTGTCCCTTCCCAGGGTTCCCTCTCCCACCTCCCATCACTCCCTGTTCTTGATCCTGTTCCTTCCTCTTCCCAAGATGATGAAAGGTACACCCAGGGACCCAAAAGGGAGACAATGTAATCTTAGTTACATTAAGGGCCCTGCAGGGACAGTAAGGCTCAGAGCAGGAGGGAGTAAGGAGGCATTTCTTTTTTGTTTTATTTATCTGGTAGGAGTTTCTTGTGGATGAAACACTGCAGCCCCGTGAGTTGGACTTGTGGAGGGTGTTCCTAGGTAGGAGTGAGACTAGGGAGGCAGGCTCACGGGCACCATAGGAGCTGTATTAGCTAACTGGATAAAGGTCGAGGTGCAGTGTCATCTGTGGCTCTGAAACTTGTCCCAAGGCTGTTTTCCCTCACCCATTTACCCCCCACTCCAGTGTGGGGATTGGACCTCAGAGTGCTCCAAAGAATCTTCACTGGTTGCCTGCACCTTTAGCTCTGCTGTTATCTAACTGGAGGAGGTACCAGTTTCTGATACCCATCCTCTCTTTTATACATAGGCATTTCCCCTACCTGGCCTTGAGATGGCCTTAGCCCCAGACGCCATGCCCCTGCAGTTTGCACTTTAATTGATGATAGGATACATGTTTATTGAGGTTTTGATTGATTTACCTATCCTTCAACCTTTTGATTAAATGGAATCTACAATGTATGAGGTTTGGGAGGCACTATAGTAAACTAACAGTAGCAGCTACTCAAGCCCAGTCTCCACTGCTAGCCTCCTCTGATTCATGCCTCTATTCTTGGGTAGAGGTTTGTCTGAGTAACTGGGGCATGGCCTCGGAATAGCGTGGAGTGAAGAAGGGTCAGGCAAAGGGAGTATTCCGTCTTCCCAGGGCTCGCATTCAGCTTGCTGTATCTTACCGTGTCTTTTCTACTTCCCTGTAAATACTTAGTCTTTATTGTCACTCACTGTGCAGTCTGTTCTGTCTCCTGTTGCCCCTTTTCTTTTCTCTTTTGTTGGTATTTTGAGTTTAGTTCCTCCCTCACCCCCCCATGCTTTCTTAATCCATGTACCACTTGGGGTTCCTGCCACAGAGGCCACTGGTCCTGTGACAGGTGCAGCTAGACCTGAAGGTGCTCACAGCTGCCTTGTGTCGTCAGAGCGCTTTGGTCCTTCCTAAGTCTCTGCCTCTACGTCTTTCATTAGGTGTTTTGGGGTGTCTGTGGGAAGCCATCAAAGCAAGAGGGAACTCTGTTCTTTTGGGTGTTAGCCAGAATTTTGGGGAAGTCTCTAGAAGAAAGAAGAGCCCACAGTAGCCAGAGTTCGGGCCTTTCTTTCTGTCCCTGTGGCTTACAGGCTGCCTTTTCTTTCAGGGCAGCTGAGGGCTCCATGATGCCAAGACTCTCAAGGACCCCGCTTAGCTTCTTCCACTTAGGCCTCGGTTCTCTTCCTTTCCAGGGGCAGCCTTAGTTCTCATGGCCCTGAAACACACACAGTTTCCAACTTTGTTTTCCTAGAACCTGTTAGTCCTCCAAAACATCCAGGTGCAGCCTTTTTACAAGTTGAAAACCTAGGGAGGCTACATCTCGTAGAGACTTAATTCCTTCTCTGCAGTTTCCATGGGACAAAGTGAAGATGTTTCATTGCCTAGAGGCTGGGAGGCCATTTCCCTAGGCTTTTCTGCTCCCTTCCTCCCTTAGGAACAGTATTGGCCTTGGCTCCTGGGCCCGGCTGCTGCCTCCCCTCCACTCCTACCAGCTCTTCTGCCTTCATTTGAGCTCTGTTGGGCTTGGGGTTCTTGTTCTCTCCCCGCCCTCCCATTATCTTTTTTCTTTTGATCAAATTTTAAGGGGAGGGGGTCATCTTTTTTTTTTTTTGTTTTTTTTTATTCCTAAGAAAGCATTTGCCTTTCTTTCCCTCTCCTAACATAACAATCGTGGTAACAGAATGCAATTGCTGATTTATCGATGTATTTAAGTAAAAAGGGAAAAAGAAAGTGCACTGGACTGCTGCTTTGTTTCTGCCATTTTTCTGCCTGAAACTAAATATCAGGAAGGAAGGTGGTGGTAGTGGTGGCATATGCTTTTAATCCCAGCACCCGGGAGGCAGAGGCAGATGGCCTCTGAGTCTGAGGCCAGCCTGGTCTACAGAGGAAGTTTCCAGGACAGCCAGGGCTACACAGAGAAACCCTGTCTCGAAAACAAACAAACAAACAAAAACTTGGGAAGATCCCAGCACTCGGGAGGCAGAGGCAGGTGGATCAATGTGAGTTCGAGACCAGCCTGGTCTACAAGGGCTAGTTCCAGGACAGCCTCCAAAGCTACAGAGAAACCCTGTGGGGGGGGGCACACGACACTTGGGAAGAAAGGGCGCAGTGAAATCTTACGGAACCTGTAACACACTGTCCTCCCCACCTTGGCACCTCATTACTCCCTCAACCTTTTGGACACTTGAGGAACCAATCTGGAAAATAACCTTGTTTTGTGATTGTTCCCACTCAAAGACATAGATAATGTGACTTATCAAATATGACTTTCAATCTTTCTGTGTGCAGTGGTGTGGTCGTGGATCTCCTGGAATTTCTTGAGATTGGAATGAGGAATGGCATATCTGAACTGTTGGAAGTACTATGCAATATTTTTTGCATTTTCCTAGGATTCATTTGTATATTAGTTTCTGAATTGAACCTAACGATTAAGAAGAGGGCTAGAGAGAAGATAGCTCAGCAGTTACCACACTGCCTGTGACTCCAGTCCCAGATCCTGACACCCTCACACATGTACATGCATACAAAACACAAATGTACAGGAAATAAAAAAGACACTGGGGAGATGGCTCAGCAGTTTAAAGCACTTGTTGGTCTTGTAGAGGTCCTGGGTTCAATAGCCAGCACCCACATGATGGCTCACAGCCATCCATAACTCCAGTTCCAGGGGATCTGGTATTTTCTGGCCTCCATAGGCACCAGGTACACACATGGTACACATATATACTGCAGGAAAAACTCATATACAAAATCTTTTTTAAAATGCAAGATACTGGTCTATAGAGTGAATTCCAGGACAGCCTTCAAAACAATACAGAGAAACCCTGTCTTGAAAAACCAAATAAAAAAATAAACAAGATAATGGTGACAAGTGCCTGTTGTTAGAGCGCAAGTTTGAATGGGTTCTAAATACTAGTTGAACAAAGACCATTACCTCCAAAACAGAAGAAAAAAAAACTGAATTAAACTTGGATTGATCAAGTGACTTCTACCCTAACCCTCCCACAAAATTGTCTTGCCTGGATCTGTTTCTTATTTCTGCTTGAAGTCCTCCCGTTTGTCATAGTCTAGAGGGAGCTGAAACAAATGGAAACAGGAGACGGGGTATAGTGCCAAGACTTGTGAGTTGCTGTGTTCGGGGGCTGGGGTCAGGCATTCCCTACAGGCCACTCTGCTTCAGTCCCTCTACATGTGAGATGAGTGGAGTCTGAGCGTGTGTGTGGCACACACCTGTCACCCAGGACCCTCAAGCACACACCGAATCCGAGGCCTGTCTGAGCTCCATAAAATAAAACTGGGTGGCATTGGTAGACGGGGGAAGAAACCGTACCAAGTAGTATTTACCTGTTTGACAGGGTCTTCGTATATAGTCCAGGTTGGTCTCAGCCTCCCTTGTGCTGAGAACACCCGCTGAAACTTCACGATGATCTACACAAAGGCTGGAAGCCTTTACATTCCAAAAAACTTCCCATATCACCTTTTCACTATGACTTCCCTTCACAGTACACTCCCCACTCAAGGTTCTTCATTCCTCGCAAAGATTCTGGCTGGAGAACTAAAAAGGGGGCGGGGTTCTTTGAAATGTTTTGCATTAAATTGATAACGACTCTAGCTCAACCCTCTGATCTCTAGGGGGCAGTCTAGGAATGTTTGTTCCAGGAGCGCTGGCTAAGTGTCAAATTGTTGGTCTCTGGTAGCTGTTAAGAGTAATAACGAGCAGAGCAGGGCAGTAGTTTCGCTCGCCTTTAATCCCAGCACTCCAGAGGCAGAGGCAGGCGGATGAATCTCTGTGAGTTCGAGACCAGCCTGGTCTACAAGAGCAAGTTCTAGGGCAGCCTTCAAAGCCACAGAGACCCTTTCTCGAAAAACAAGAAAACAAAAGATTAATAACGAATGTAGTCGATTAAGTAAGTGTCCTTACCTTGACTTACAAGACTAATGTTTATACTTTTGTTTAACAAGATTAAAGTGGATGTTCTTTTGTTTGGTTTTTCAAGACAGGGTTTCTCTGTGTAACAGCCCTAGCTGTCTTGGAACTCGTTCTGTAGATCAGGCTGGCCTCGAACTCACAGAGCTCCACTTGCATGCGCCACCACGACAAGACTTTTCCCCCCACTACGCAGAATTTAAAAGATGGTTTTAAGGAGTGGGCATGGTGGTGCACGCCTTTAAGGCTGGCACTCAAGAGGCAGAGGCAGACGGATTTATGAATTCCGGGCCGGCCTGGTCTACAAAATCAGTTCCATGCCAGCCAGGGCTACATAGTGAGACCTTGACTAAAAATAAATAAAAGATGCTTTTTCAGTCCTGGTTTCGCACTTGAGAAATCCACTATTTTAAGGAGTCACTTCTTCTGTTATTCTTGGCCTTAGACACAAGCAGGGATTAACAGTTGCGACAGGAAACAACTCCTGAGGCGCCGGGCATACCCGCAGGGCATACCCGGAGGACCGGGAGGCCTCCCGGGGAAACTAGCTTTGGTCCCCATCCTCGCGGCCACCTTCGGAGCCCTCATCACCTTCCGCTGCGTGGGAGCACGGCATCAGAGGCCGCTCGTTGCCCTGCGGAACTGCGGCCGCTCGGCTCCGGTCATCAGTGTGTGTCCGCTGTCCCTGCGAGGGAGAGGCCTGCACGGGCCCGGAGTCCGCGACTCCCCGCCTCCCGCTTCAGATCCCGCGACCCCGTGACAGCGGCCCGGCCTTGTCAGGAGCAGCGGGCTAAGGGGCCAATGGCTGCGGCGCGGGCGAGGGGCGTGAGGACGCCTGCACAAACCGCGCACGTCACGGCCAGGCCCCGCCCCGCCCCGCCCCACCGCCCGGGGAGCCCTTGCCCCGCACCGGGCGGGTGAAATTGTTCCGCTGAGGACGACGAGCCTGGTAAGGGGACTGCGACCTGGAGGGACAGGAGGGAGAGCAACGGTGGGACCAAGGCGGTCAGTGGAGCTCCAAATCTTAGGAATAACAAAAGGACAAGTACCTCCGTTTACGATGTCTGAGTGCTCCTGGGGTCGCAGGCTACGTTTCTGTCCGAATTCTGGACAGACACACCCTCCTACCTAAAGTGTTCCTGAAAGTATGGAGCTCGCAGGGACAGAGTGGCATTCCAGTATGTCGCAGACCACTCCTCCCAAACCTGGAACCGAGCTGGTAAACAAGGGTTGCTGAAATTAAGGGTAGATGGCAGCAAGTACGTACGGATCGGATCCCCTTGGCCCAGACTGAAGGGTAGTAGAATTCGCACCTCTTTCCATCTTCCTATCTTCCCTATCCGTAACAACCCCACCCCTAGCATCTCAGCAACCAGCAGCTTCTCCCTTCTCTCCACTTTGACCCTCCTGGCTCGGAGAGGTACCGGGTTTTGAGGAAGACATTTACAGGACAGAGAGCAGAAAAATTATCTCCTCCTGTAGCCCATCCCCTGACACCCTGGCCATTGACTCCTCTCAGTTTGCTGAGTTCACTAGACTAGCATAGGGTGGAGACACTGAATTGGGGTTCAGTTCCCAGATGGGATATTTGTTTTAGAGGGGAGGAGGAAGAGAACTGGAAAGACCTGGGTGGATGTTATTACTTATTTACCCTTTGTATCAGGTCCTCTGGGTAGAGAGGATCCTGAGTTCAAAGAGTTCAAAGAGGCCTGCTGTGTTGCCCAAGGAGTCAGTTAGTGTCAAGGCCTGGCTGTATAGACCCAATGCAGTTTGCTTCTAGGATCTGGGTTCCTGCACCCCGTTAGACTGCTGCTCCCTCTTGTCACTGTTTTCCTCAGTCTCTTAGAAATAGTTATAAGCTGGGGCCTGGGGGTTATAAGCTCAGCAGCAGAGCTCTTGTCTCACATTCTCAAGGCCTTGGGTTCCATACCTAGTATCATTTTTTTAGTTGGCAAACCTGCTTCTGTCCTTAGGCCCCTTGGCCTGGGGCATTGTTCTCTCTAGAAGTCTGTGTACCTTTCCACCCCGTCCCCGCCCGCCTCTTCAGCACAGTCTAGCACTGAAATGCTGCAGGGTTACTCCCAGAACCCACTTGGGCTCTGCATTCTCAGGTCTCCCAAACGTCCCCTGGGAGGGGTCTTCTGGTTTTGAAAGCTGTCACTCTTCCTGTAGGTCGGCCACCATGCTGCTGAGGCTGCGCAGGACTGTGGTCGTGGGACTTCCACAGGCCATCAGGTGGGTTATCCGTTCCCAGCGCTTATCTCCTAGCCGATCTCGTAACTATCTTATCTGGCTGATACTTATCTGGAAGATAAGGCAGTACAGAGATGACCCAGGAGGAAAGAGAGAGCCATATTTCACTGGTCCTACCCATCCGGAAGAAACTCAGCTCCAACCGAAAACCAGTGACTAATGAGAGGCAACCACAGGCCTTTGCCAGTGCTTTCACAGGGCATTTTGTCCTTCCAGAGTCAAGCCAACCCCCTCAAGGCTCTGCATCCCAGCGTACTCCACAAATGATTCGTTTAAACCCCAGCACCCCAGCCTCACCTTTTCTGACGAGAAGTCAAGGACTCGGGGATGGAGAGTCATGGGGACCCTGCTAGGCCTTGGTGCAGTGCTGGCCTATCATGACCATCGTTGCAGGGTAAGCGGGAAAGCAGCTTCCTTGTGGGAACAGAGGGGTCTTACACACTCTTGCCTGCGGTGGTTCTGTGTTCATGCACTGCAGAGATACTATCTGCTCCCTTAGTTTCCCAGTCTAAGACTGTGGATGGGGTCAGAATGACCTAGAGTGATTTAATATTGTCTGTTCCTTCTGCTTTCTCCCTCCCCTGCCTGTAGGCTGCTCAGGAGTCACCACGGATATACACCAAAGAGGACGTGAGGGCCCACAATAGCCCTGAAACTGGAGTCTGGGTAACTCTAGGCTCTGAGGTCTTTGATGTCACCAAATTTGTGGAGCTACATCCAGGGGGACCATCAAAACTGATACTAGCAGCTGGAGGCCCCCTAGAGCCCTTCTGGGCCCTCTATGCTGTTCACAACCAGCCTCATGTACGTGAGTTACTGGCTGAGTATAAGATCGGGGAACTGAACCCTGAAGATGACGCGTCTCCCACCTTGGAGGCCTCTGACCCTTACGCTGATGACCCCGTCCGTCACCCAGCTCTGAAGATCAACAGCCAGCATCCCTTTAATGCAGAGCCTCCTCCTGAGCTGCTAACAGAGAGCTACATCACACCAAACCCCCTTTTCTTCACTCGGAACCATCTGCCTGTACCTAACCTGGACCCAGAAACCTACCGCTTGCATGTAGTAGGGGCACCCGGAGGTCAGTCGCTGTCCCTGTCCTTGGACGATTTGTCTACGTTTCCCAAACATGAGGTCACTGTCACTCTGCAGTGTGCTGGCAACCGGCGCTCTGAGATGAGTGAGGTCAAGGGGGTGAAAGGCCTGGAGTGGCGGACGGGAGCCATCAGCACCGCACGCTGGGCTGGGGCTCGACTCTGTGACGTGTTAGCCCGGGCTGGTCACCGCCTCGGGGAAACTGAGGCCCACGTCTGTTTTGAGGGGCTGGACTCAGACCCCACTGGGACTGCCTACGGGGCATCCATCCCTCTGGCCCGGGCCATGGATCCTGAAGCTGAGGTCCTCCTGGCATATGAAATGAACGGTCAGCCTCTGCCTCGTGACCATGGTTTCCCTGTGCGGGTGGTGGTCCCTGGTGTGGTGGGTGCCCGCCACGTCAAATGGCTGGGCAGAGTGAGTGTGGAGTCTGAGGAAAGTCACAGTCACTGGCAGAGGCGGGACTACAAAGGCTTCTCTCCGTCTGTGGACTGGGACACGGTAGACTTCGATCTAGCTCCGTCCATTCAGGAACTACCTATCCAGTCAGCTGTCACAGAACCCTGTGAGGGGGCAACTGTAGCGGCAGGGGAGGTGACTATCAAGGGCTATGCATGGAGCGGTGGTGGCAGGGCTGTGATTCGAGTGGATGTGTCTATAGATGGTGGACGAACCTGGCTGGAGGCTGAGCTGGAGGGGGAGGAGCAACGTCCCAGGAAGGCCTGGGCGTGGCGGCTATGGCAGCTGAAAGCTCAGGTGCCCGCCGAGCTAAGGGAACTGAACATCATTTGCAAAGCTGTAGACGACAGTTACAATGTGCAGCCTGACACCGTGGCCCCCATCTGGAACCTGCGAGGCGTCCTCAGCAACGCCTGGCACCGTGTCCATGTCCACGTCGTCCCATGAACGCGTGGGAGCGAGAACCACCCAAATTCCTTTCTAGTCCAGGCTTAATCCTCACTGCCCTGGAAAGACATCTCCTCCTCTTCTTGGGTCATAACCCTGTATTCACTGTGTCTTCTTAAGCTGTACCCGGGCACACACACTGCACCCAGGAACCCACTCCCGGGGCCTCAGCCTACCACACACAGGCCTTATTTTACACTGCTTAGAAACTTCAGCCGGACGTGCGTAGAATGTGTAAGAACCATTTTCTACTGCTTATGGGATGCGAGGGGTTTCCCTCTTAGAGCTCCACTTTTTAGAAAAGATATATACCAATAAAAGTGTCCGTTTCAGAGTGTGACTGGGACCTCTTGGGCCTGGACAGTGAGCATTTTGCAGGAGGGAGGCTTGAGTCTAACCCAAAGCTAGTGAGTGGGACGGACGTGCCGTCCCTGGAAAAACCAAGGAGTGGGTCTTCCTTCTCCCACCTACCTGGTTGGCCAGCAGATATACGAAGACAGCAGTGGTTGTTTTTAAACGTTTAGTACCCTCAAACCGTTCCCCCAATTCCCGCTTTCTCGACAGGATTAGCAAATAATGCAAAAGAGGTTGTAAATCAGTATTATCTTGGGGAGGGCAGGAGCAAACCTTGGCACCGGGAGCAGGCGTGCCGGGACACACGGGGCTCCGCGCGCACCTAGTTTGCAAGTTAGATGCAGATGAAGAGATAGAGTTGGCTTAACCTCTGCACGCCAGGGCCGTTTGGACTTAAATCTTTCGGCGCTCGGCTATTCTCCCCTAGCTCCTCTCCTTTTTTTTTTTTTTCCCTCAGCAGTCTCCCCGGCTTGGGGGCGCTCGGTGTTTGGCCCAGTCGCCTGTCGCCTGGTAGTGGGACCGGAAGTTATTCCGGAGGGGGGGACTGGCCGTAGTGGGGGGGCTCCGCGGGGGGGCCGATCCCTCCTCAGGTGAAGCCCCTGATGGAGATGGAGCCGCCACCGCTGGGCGCCCGGATCCCGGCTGGGGCCTGGCTGCCGCCGCCTCAGTGACCCCATCCCCCCCGCGCTGGGGCACCTGGGCCAGAGTGGGGGCCTCCCCGCCCCTCTCCCCCCACCAGACACGGCCCTGCTCCCCCAGCCCCCAACAGCCTGCGCGCGCGCGGAGACGCCTCAGGTGAGCGAGGGGCGGGGCCCGCGCGAGGCGGGGGCGGGGCTTGGTCCCCGGGGCGGGGCTTGAGCTTGGGCGAGAAGCTGGGGAGTTGCAGTCTGGGGGAGGGGCGGGCTGGGTGTGCAGCACCTTGACCAGGGGCCTCAGAATTGGGGAGTGGTGGGAAGACAGGTCAAGGGAGGGCTGGAGACAGGAACTGGCATGTGGGAGGCTCCTGTGTGCGGACTGGCTAGGATAGAACACAGAAAGGGACAGAACGACGGAACAAAGCAAGCGAGGACCAGAAAAGACAAGGGGCTTCATTGAGAATGCTGGAGGAAAAGACCCAGGCCTACCTAGGACTAGCTCCTGGAGGTCGTGTCAGAGTGGGAGGAACGACAGACTGGAGCGCTGTCTGTTCTGCTGTTTGGGTGAGGAGCACAGGGACCCTGAGAAGCAAGGCTGAGAAGGAAAAGAAAATCCGCTACTCAAGAGAGAAACCACAGAGGAAGCCCTATGGTAAACCTCTGGATGGGGGCTACATAAACTTGGGTACCAAAATGCCTTTCTAAGTATTAAAGCCATCCTCAGTGTACCTCCTCATACAGACCCATCTCGGTTTTTTTTATCCTTTACCTGCTAGAGTTGTATTGTTTAGTTTAGTGGCTTGGTTGGTGGGTTAGTTGTTTGGTTGGTGAATGTGTGTGTGTGTGTGTGTGTGTGTGGTGTGTGTGTGTGGTGTATGCCCGCGTTCATGCCAGGGACAGGACAATTTTGGAGTTGATTCTCTCTTTCCATCTTTACGAGGGTTCAGGGATTGAAGTGATATCGCCAGGTTTTCAAGGCAAGTGAACCTTGGTTGGGTTTTTTGAGAAGGGTCTCATGTAACCCAGGCTGGGCCTGAACTATGAAGCTGGTGATTGTAAGCATTTCGGGCTGGATGGGGATGGAACAGGAGTGGGTCAGGTATCCTGGCACTCGGGAGTCACAGAATACTGAGTGTTACACAGCTCAGATGGAAAGGTATCCTGGAGCTCGGGAGCCAAGGACCACCACAGGTTGCAGTAAGCTTGGCAGCTTACAGCCTTGCCTCAGAGAAAGGCTTCTCCGGTGTATCAGTTCCGCTCCAGCAGGTATCAGCTCGGCTCCGGCAGGACAGGGTCTTCCAGCTGGGGATGTTCGCCTAGTGTAGCAGTTTTGCTCTCTCCAGGGGGGGATTTGCTACAGTTCAGCTCTGCTCCTGGAGAGCTCCACGGGGACTCCGCTCTGCCAAGGGAAGGTTTCCTGGGCAAGTGTTACGGGCCTGCTCGCTCTGCTCTGCTCAGGGTCGCCTCTGATCCATCGCTGCCGCAAAAGAAGATCTTCACCCAAAGCTCATTGAAGGGGTATATTGGAAGGGAAGAGTCCAGGAGAGTGGCTGCCCTCTGCCAGAGTAGCAGAGGACAGCCGGGTAGCAGGAAGAGGAGACACAAGCTGAACATACACAGGGTTTATATAGGGGTTCTTGGGGGCGGGGAAGTTTTTCCAGGGTAGGGATTGGTCCGATTTCAGTGCTGAGCTCAGATTGGCTAGAGCTCTGCTCGAGGATTGGTTACTTTTCTGCACAGGATTAAGGTCAGATTTGGCTCTGGTTTCAGGGCCAAAGTATGTTTCTTTTCTTTTCTTTTTTTTTTTTTTTTTTTTTTTTTTGGTTTTTCGAGACAGGGTTTCTCTGTGGCTTTGGAGGCTGTCCTGGAACTCACTTGGTAGTCCAGGCTGGTCTCGAACTCACAGAGATCCGCCTGCCTCTGCCTCCCGAGTGCTGGGATTAAAGGCGTGCGCCACCAACGCCCGGCTCAAAGTATGTTTCTTTCTCTGGTCCTTTTTAGCCGTTTGGCTCCAATTTTAGGGCCAGGGTGCATTTTTTTCACTGATTCTGATTCCAGGGACAAAGTGTGTTATTTTGGCACTGGTTTCAGAGTCAGGGTACTTTTCTTTAGTTCTGGTTGCAGGGCCAAAGTGTGTTTCTTTGGCTCTGCTCAGGGTGTGTTTCTTTGACTGTCCCCTTTTCCCTACAGCGATGACCTGTAACTCTGAACTTGTGATGAGTCTCCTGCCTTGGCCTTCTAAATGCTGGGACTGCCCTCACTGAGTTCTCCTCCAGTTTCTCTGTGGGTTTTCGTCTATTTGGTTGGTTGGTTGGTTTATTTGAGACAGGGTCTTACTGTGTGACCCTCACTGGCCTGAAACTTGCTCTGTAGACCAGGCTGGTCTTAAACTCACAGAGATCCACCTGCCTCCACTTCCCGAGTGCTGGATTAAAGGCGTGCACCACCATGCTCTACTGTTTGTTTTTAGGCCAGGATCTCATGTTTTCTAGGCTGGCTTCAAATTTGCTATACCTAAGCATGACTTTGAACTTCTGAACCTTATGCCTCCAGTCTCCCAAGTGTTGGGATGGGATTATAGGCCTTCACTATGTGTGTGTTATTTAAACCATGATCAGCCCTTTCTTGGGATAAGTGGGATGTTCAATGGAATGTGAACTTTTTTATATGAGCTATTTCAGAAGCAAGGTACCACATTTGCTCATCCAAGGTTGAGAATCTACTAACTGACACCAGGAAGATTTCTTTTCCTTTTTCTTTTCTTCTTTTGGTGTTTCCAGGCAGGGTTTCTCTGTGTAGCTTTGTAGACCAGGCTGACCTTGAATTCACAGAGATCCACCTGCCTCTGCCTCCTGAGTACTGGGACTAAGGGCGTGTGCCACCCCCGCCCAGTTACCAGAAGATTTGGTGTGTCACCAACTAAAACGTGTAAAAGCTTTGAGACCTTCTTTCACCACATTCCTTTTTCTCGTGACGAAACTGTCCGCTGTTTTGATGGTCAGTGGTGAGGACTGAGACACTACACTGTTGCCCACAGCAGCCTGGACAGTTCCTTTCATCTTTGGGGCCTCACACTCGGGAAAACCTTTTTTTGGTTTCCAGAAAAAAAGAATTTCCAGTGAGCCAGTAGGAAGAAAATTGTTGGCTGACAAGATGGCTTGGTGGGTGAAAGGTACCTATCACCAAGCTTTTTTATGTTTGTGCTTGGGGGTTTTGGGGTTTTTGTGTGTGTGTGTGTGTGTGTGTGTGTGTGTGTGTGTGTGTGTGTGTGTGTGTGTTTTAGATAGGATTTCTCGGGCTGAAGAGATGGCTCAGAGGTTAAGAGCAGTGACTGCCTTTCCAGTGGTCCTGAGTTCAATTCCCAGCAACCACATGGTGGCTCACAACCATCTATAATTCAGTCTGGTGCCCTCTTCTGGTATGTAGGCAGAACACTGTATATGTAATAAATAAGTAAATAGATTAAAAAAAAAAAGATAGGGTTTCTCTGTGTAGCCCTGGCTGCACTGGAACTTGCTCTGTAGACCAGGCTAACCTCAGACCCAGAGCTCCACCTGCCTCTGTCTCCCCAGTGCTGGGATCTAAGGCATACACCACCACCAAGCTTTAATGACCTAGATTGAGTTCAGTCCCCAGGACTCACAGGGTGGAAGGTAGAATCAACCCTGAAAGCTGTCCTCTAATCTCCAAATACATGCTGTGACATGCACAAAGTGTTTGCCTTGTAAGTCTGAGGACCTGGGTTTTAATCTCTAGCATCCATGTAAAAGCCACAACAAACATCTGTAATCTCACTGGGGGGAGGGAGCACAGACCAGAGACAGGTGGATTCGTAGATTAATTAGCCAGCCAGCCAGCCTAAACTGTTAATAACCTCCAAGTTAAATGAGAGGCCCTGTCTCCAAACATAAGGGGGGAAACTGGAGAGATGGTTCAGTGGTTAAGAGCCCGTGCTACTCTTCTAGAAACATGGGTTAAATTCTTAGCACTTGCATGGTGGCTTGTAACAAGCTGTAACTCCAATTCCAGGGGATCTGACACCTCACTCAGACATACTTGCAAGCTAACATGAATGCATGTGAAATAAATTTAAAACATTAAAAACAAAAACCATAATCCCAGCACTTGGGAGGAAGAGGCAGGCAGATCTCTGTGAGTTCAAGGCCAGCCTGGTCTACAAGTGCAAGTTCCAGGACAGCCTCCAAAGCCACAGAGAAACCTTGAATCAACCCCCCCCAAAAAAAACAAACAAAAAAATAAGCAAAATAGAGAGATAGTGATCAAGAGAGACAACCAAAGTCAACTTTTGGTCCTACATGAACATGGGTTTCTATATGTGTGCCTGCACATA